ACTATAATCAGTGGACTTTTGTAGTGAGAAAAAATATTGTAAGATTCATCAATTTTAAATTTAATATTACATGATATTTTATTAGCCTAAAATTATTATATTTTTGCTATAATCAAATTCCTCTGAATAAAATATCATAAAAATAAATTTTTAAAATTTCAAATCAAATTGTTTTCTATTTTCTGTTTTAAGAAATAATTTTTCAAAACGACAAACCAACCGTATTTTTCGAAATCTTAAAACAGACACTCAAAACGAGAAAACTAGAAATGAACTCAAAATTCAAAATTGAAAACTAGAACACAAACCAAACGGGCCCTATGCGTTTGAAGAATTTTGTAATGAACGCAAAAAGGAGGGCAAAAAGTTTTTCAACGAAGTAGATCATAGATAGAACTCAATTTATCTTTTACTAAGATTTTATTAAGAATACGAAATTCTTATTACTGACTTCTATAACTCTGGACATGCACAAGACATAGATAATAATTTAAAAAATTTATTTTGAAACTCCAATTACATATCGTAATAAAGAAAGTTGTTTATATGAAATATATGAAATGTATACCCAAAATTTGGCACGGTTTTATGAAAGAAACTTCAATAGGACGGTTGCACCTATCAGGTCGAGCCACCTTGGCGGGTGGCTCCCCACACATCCCGAGGTGTGTGGATCATTTGTAGAATTGGTGTCCACGTGGTGCGCCCACCCCCACTGAAGATTTTCTTTGGTTTTAGGCGGTTGCTTGTACAGATTCTTAAGGGTAAAGTACCATCAATAAATAACACCTATTTAGTGTTATTAACAATAGATAAAACTAGTCAAATAAATGCATATGCTGGTATTTTTCTTCCTACAATCCAACAACATCGAATGTATTTGCACGTGGAATGTCAATAAAATTAGTTAGATATTTTCTCATGACATGCTTACAATGGTAAAGTCGATAAATGCAATAAGTTAGACTTATTTAAATTTTGGATAACTAACTAGTGTTATATTCAAATAATTTCTTATTGCACGTGATCTACTAATATTTTTTATTAGTACGATGGCAATGGAGTCTATTTTTAGTGTATGTGACACTATTTTATCTAGCCATATATCAAGACTCATAGAAAACGTATTAATGGATTTAATGTATATAATGAATTGGAAAGCAGGGTACGGACTACTGAGTCCAAGATAATCATACCAAAATACAATTTGACTGGATAAATGATATTTTAGTTCATCACAATTTTTCAATTTTTAGATATTATTCACTTTAAAAAAAATAAAAATAAAAATTTATACACAAAATAAGTTGTTCATGTACAATTTTAATTT